AATTGACAAGTCGACAAATCAATACATATACACACACACACATACATACATACATACACACGAACACACAATATATATATATATATATATGTGTGTGTGTGTGTGTATATATATATATATATATGATTAGAAGCACATATATATGCAAATCATAGTTCATGTCCATTGCATCTCGTGTGCAAATACATATTGTGTATTGAGTTCAATTTATCATTTTTCTTGTAGTGTTTCTTGGTTCCAATCTAGTCTCTAGGTCTTTAAAGAAGCAACATGCTATAAGCAGGTCCATTATGGAAGCTGAATAAAAAAGTATTGTAACTATAATAGTAGAGCTTACATGGTTAAAGTATTTACTAATTGAGCTTCATATACCAGTTCCAAAACCCCCACTAATTAATTTACTGTGATAATCTTAGGGTTGTTTTACTCTCAGCAAACCCAATTTTGCACTCAAGAACAAAATATTTTGAGCTTGATTTGTTCTTTGTTAGAGATAAAGTTAAAAAAAAAGAGATACAAGTTCATCACATTCCATCAGCAGAACAAACAACATATATCTTTACAAAATTGCTTACTACTGCTTCCTTTTCAAACTGTATGTACAAACTAATGGTTCATTCTCATACTCCATGAGTTTGAGGGGGAGTGTAAAGGGAACTTAGAGTTTGTTAGCGATTATTTTTTCTGCTTTCTATCCATTTTATTGTCCATTAATTTGTTATGAATACCTAGACTTATATATAGCCTCATCCTCTCTTGTAAACATAGATATTGGAAATACATTTAGTTTCATGTAACTCTAAGATCTTTAGTAACTATACATGTAATATTTATTGTACCTATGTTAAAATGTTACTTGTAGTTTCAATAATGAACATTACATCTATATAAAATGCATGTAAAATAAATTACGGGATAAAAAAATAGCATTAAATTTTTGTTTTATTTTTTATTTTTTTACAACAAATTAAATTCAACATGCATCTAAATTCTAAAGTGGGTTTATATGTTTATTCAACATCTATAATTTTTAAATTTTTTTATCTCTTAACTAATTTACTCAATTATCTCATTCTTTTAAAGTTAACCAAACATTTTTTTTATAGCAGAGGAAGAGAGTAACTCTTTTTCATTGGTCATAATAATTAATTAAGCAATAATATTTATTTATTTTTAATGTTATTGAGAAAATAATTAATTAAATAATTATAAAATCAAATATATTTTACGTTCTCATAAATATAGATATATTTGTTTCTCGTTTTTGCCTTTTTTATTTTTTATTTTTTTACCAACATGCTTCAATGCCGATTGCTTTGGCCCTGCCGTGAACCGGGTCTGAAAACAAAATTTCTTATATTTTTTTATTACTTTGTTAATTGAAACAAAATTTACTATGCAGGGACATAAAAACAACTGTTTCTTAGGACATGAAACATGTTATTAACGTCAGGTATCATGACCTGGGAGGAATCCCCTTATATGAGGCTGCTTCCACTAATTTTTTATTATCTGTACACATTTATAAATACAAATTGACCTAATAATTATATTATATATAAACATTTTCCTCACCAACATATTTTATTCTGATTATTTTCATTATTTAAATTAGATATTCTTAATATTATTCTTTAAATTATTGATTATAAATTCAAATTTTAGATTATATATATAATCGTATTTATTTATTGTGAATTTAATTATTATAATTTAAACATTAAAAATAACTTTACGATTTAATTATATTAAAGTAAATTTGTATCATGTAAAATGTTAAAAAACGAATTTATATATACAAATATTATACCCACAACTTAAAATTTCTATATTCTTACTTTTTATGACAAATTAAAGAACAAAATTAAGTCACGATAAACATTTTTTAGATTAAAAGCCAAAAATTATTTTACGAACACCAAAAATCGTTAAATTTGTAGGCTAGCTCTTTTTTAAGTCATAATGATATATAACAATATTTAAGGTGGCACACGCTTCATGAAAACTTTTGTGTGCTTTAAATTTATAGAAGTGATTATTCTAATTGCATGCACTCTATATTAGCTTTATTTACCTTGGCTTTTCTGAACACATCGGGATGTAGTGTAAGATACATAAGTGACCACATCAAACCAGTTGCTGTGCTTTCATGACCAACAAATAGAAGCCCTATGACTATATCTGCAATCTGCTCATCTTCTAATTCCTCTCCATTCTCTCTTTTATCTTCCAAAAGAATATCAATAAAATCCTTTTCATCATTGAGTTGACCCTTTTTTCTCATCAACCTCCTTTCACCCACACCAGATATAACCACTTTTAACAGCTTCTTGCGTACCTAACATACCATGTAATAAAAACCATATAAATGTGAATTTAGAATCTTAAAATTAAGAGAAATGATAGCGTACTCTTTTTAATACTATTTTATTAATACTTTATTTTTTTATTGGTTGACAAACAAAAAGTTTGGTAGCTTGCTACTATTAAATAAGAAGTGAGAGTTATTAAATCAAACGTCAGATTCACAAAAAGAATTGTGATTTTAAATAAGTTTCACACAATAATAATAAAAAAATTATAAAGAGAGTGTTATTAGAGACCATAATGTTAGTGAAATTCCTTTTAAGTTAATAAAAATAAGAAGAAAAGTGAAGGAAAGGAGATGAACCTGAAGTGCTTTATGATATGTAAAACCAGGCAAGTTAATGGGCACACTAAATAAGGGATTACAATCCGAAAATTCCCTAAATAAATCTTTTACTTTTGCGACGATGGGTTGATTGTGAGATCCAAAGAAGACGTAGGTGATGACTTTAAAGGTAATCTTCTCCAACTCCTTGAAAATCTCAACAGGGTGCTTTATGCTGGATAATTCTTCTAGTGAATCAATTACTATCTCCTCAATACGTGCCAAGTACATCGCTAACATATTTTGACCCATAATCGGAACAGAAACTACTCGTCGTAAGCGCTTGTGTTCAACATTAAAGACTCCAGTCGAGGTATTACTACCAAGTAATTCAGAAACAGATTTTGGATACGCCAATTTAAAGTTCTCATCATCATTCAGCACTTGTCTACACATCTCAGGAGCACAAACAATCATGCTTGGTTTTCCAAACAAATGTGTCTTGTAGATACCACTTCGTCCATATCTGAATCATACATGACAAAGTCAAATGAGACTAACTAATTATATACGCATGGGAGTGCAAGAATGCTAGCTATACTTTCTCTGACTTTTTTTTTTCTTTTCTTTTTTTTCATACTCCTTATTATTTGTCAAAATTCACAAATTTTTTGCATCACATATTTCATGTTGATCAGGTCTTGATTTAATAGTACGACCTAAAAAACTTAGTATTTGTAATCAATTATAAGTATTGTAGATAATAAAGAGAATATTAGAAATAATATCTCTAATATCTTTCTCATATAATAATGATGATGAATATGATAATGAGATGGGAAAAAAGAAAGAGAGAGAATTTTTTTTTTCAAACTTGGAGACAAAATTGTTGATGAATGAATCGAGTTGGCCAGAGGATAAGACTTTGATGAAGGGTATCATATTGCCAATAAGAGGCCAACCCATATCACCAGGAGGCAATAGGGATTGTTTGTTTCCTAATTTCAGATCATAATACCATCCATTCAACCTCCTCACGAATTTGTTTAGCAAAACGTAAGAAGCCAACAAAGTGGCAACACTCATCCAAACCCAATGTAATTCCATTTTTCTGAATGGCTCAAGTTGCTGATATTAGTCCGCTATATATAGCAGCTTGTTATAGTTAATTATATTGACTTTGGAATTTATCATCACGTGCGCTCTGTAGAAAGATTGACTTATAAATCTGATCTGGATTTTGTACTTATTACAAAAAAATATGAAAATTTAGACACTCCAACTCACCTATTCATTTTATTTGACGTTTAAAAAACTTTTGAAAATAGAATATAATATAACAGTTAGATATAATAAAAATATGATATGATAAGAGTGGTATATATAAACATTAATTCTATCACATATTGAATACAGATCATGATAATAAATAAAATAATATTATTACAATATATGTTTTATAATTAATATATGCTAATGAGATATTATATAAATTATATTTAAATTATAAAATTTTGTTTCATTAAAATTACATATAATTTTCTGAAAATTAAGTTTTACTTTAATTGTTTAAAATTTTACATTAAAGAAAATATAATTTTAAATATATAATAAAAAATGGTTTGTAACATAATTTTATTCAATAAAAGTTATATAAATATTTTTGAACTTATAATAATTATTCATGTAACAGCCTAGACAAACAAAAATGAGAGAGATCCAAAAATTGTAAAAGTATGAGATTGTATAGTTGATGATGACTTAAAGAAATTAATTTATACTACCTATACTAACAAGATGCATCTACTTTTTTTGGTAGCTTATCCCATAAGAACTTAACAGTTAAGCATGTTTGACGTAGAGTAATTTAGGGATGTGTGACCTTTTGGGAAGCTTCTCAAAAAGTATATAAGTGAGGACAAAGCATGCTGAAAAATCTTAGGATTGGTTTATGGGGTCAATCATTAATCATAAAAGCGGACGAATATCTCAAAAAGAGCTACCCACAAAGGATTCTGATTGGTGAAAGGTTCTGACCAATGAGAAGTTGCATGAAGTGTCATTGTGTGAAGTGTTATGGAGTAGAGCCACTGAGAGGTGTTACAAATGGTATTAGAGCTTGGTTCTCTCCCAGTACGGTGTGGTTCAAGAACAAACCAAATTAAAGCTGGAGAACTTGTAACAACCTGGACACACCAAAATGAAAAGGATCCAGAGATTGTATAGTTGAGGATGACTTATAAATTAATTTATACTACCTATACTAACAAGATGCATCTACTGTTTTTTTTTGTAGCTTATCCCATAAGAACTTAATAGTTAAGCATGCTTGACATAGAGTAATTTAGGGATGTGTGACCTTTTGGAAGCTTCTCAAAAAGTATATAAGTGAGGACAAAGCATCCTGAAAAGTCTTAGGGTTGGTTTATGGGGTCAATCATTAATCCTAAAAGCGGACGAACATCTCAAAAAGAGCTACTCATAGAGGGTTCTAATTGGTGAAAGGTTATGATAAATGAGGAGTTGCATGAAGTGTCATCGTGTGAAGTGTTATGGAGTGAAGCCACTGAGAGGTGTTACAAATGGTATTAGAGCTTGGTTCTCTCCCAGTACGGTGTGCTTCGAGAACAAACCAAATTAAAGCTGGTGAACTTGTAACAACCCAGACACACCAAAATGAAAAGGATCCAGAGATTGTAAAAGTATGAGATTGTATAGTTGAGGATGACTTAAAAAAATTAATTTATTATACTACCTATACTAACAAGATGCATCTTTTTTTTTGTAGCTTATCCCATAAGAACTTAACAGTTAAGCATGCTTGATGTGGAGTAATTTAGGGATGTGTGACCTTTTGGGAAACTTCACAAAAAGTGTATAAGTGAGGACAAAACATGCTGAAAAGTCTTGGGGTTGGTTTATAGGGTCAATCATTGGTCCTAAAAATAGATGAACATCTTAGAAAGAGCTACCCATAGAGTGTTCTAATTGGTGAAAGGTTCTAACCAATGAGGAGTTGCATGAAGTGTCATTGTGTGAAGTGTCGTGGAGTGGAGCCACTGAGAGGTGTTACAAATGGTATTAGAGCTTGGTTCTCTCCCAGCACGTACGGTGTAGTTCGAGCATACTTAACTTAGAGTAATTTAGGGATAGGTTACATTCTAGGAAGTTTCGCAAAAAGTGAGTGAGGATAAAACACATTGAAAAGTCTTATCTTGATTTGTGGGGTTAGTCATTGATCCTAAAAGTAGAAGAACATCTCAAAAAAGACTACTCACGGAGGGTTTTAAACAGTGAAGGGTTCTGACTAACATGGAGTTGGTCAAGTGTCATCATATGAAGTGTCATGGAGTGAAGGTTAACTAGTGCACCTATTTTAGTGTTACCTGACCCTAGTGACACGCTCTACTCCATATGCCATAATATAATATAAAAGATACATTTTAACATAAACTAGACTTTGTGAAAATAAAAATTACAATGGAAATAAAATTTAAACTACTCAAAGTAAATAGCAAGGATCAAATCCTAACTAGTCCTAACTAAGTCTCTGATGTCATGTTTCTTATCAGAGAAAAACTCAATGTTGAGGACTAAGCCTTATCATCGACATCCTCAATGTCATGCTGATGATTCCCTATAAAAATCACAAGAAGACAATACAAAAGAAAAGGGAGTGAGAAACATCTCATTCTAGCTCACGGTGTAGGAATATAAACCGACTAGTCAAACAAAAATAACATATACAATATTATATAAAATACACAATTACACATCATCTTATTTAACTCATTGATAACATAGTAATTAACAACATATAAGATTATAATGCATATGCAATGGACACAGACTATATGTTATCATGCATGTGGCACCAATAAAAATATCATATATCACACTTATGCATTGCTGCTAGCAATACACGTACAATAGTCTAAGAGTACATATCGGGTCACACCCTCTACACACTTTCACTAGAAGGACATACTATTAAGATCTAGTTGGGATAGGTAAGCTGCATAAGATATATAAATCCCATGCTCACAAGAGTATGACTAGGACTTCCAAACTAAGCTATCCCCAGGGTTGGTTCCCAAGCTTTTACACAAGGGACCTTTCCTGGTGGTGTATTCCTCATCATACCCTTTAAAAACATTTTATGCATATGATGCATGTCAAACAAACTCTATGCATTACATTCACATGGTCTTATACCATAACACATCACATATCTTATCATATCATATCATGGCTAAGCCTCACTTAAACTTCTCATCATATGACCCTCATAGGATCTATACACATCAAATGCATCAATGTCAAAGAACATCAATCAATTCATAAATAGCTCATAATATGTCATATCAATGGCACACTCACATACAACATTTTCATATAACTTAATCTTCTATGACATCGCATGGTCTAAACACCTTAGCTAGAGCTATGTATATGTTATTAAGTTGATCTTAATTTTATTAGAAATTTAAGACAATTATCTCCAACTTCTATGTTGATCTCAAGAGCTAAATATGTCATCCACTATTTTAAATAAATACAAAACCACAACGTTCCAACCTAAATTTGACAGCCTGAACTTTTCTCACTAATTTGATCATAACATGAGTTCTAAACCTCCTTTTAAGGTGATTCAAATGGAATTTCAAAGCTAACATCCAAGGCTACAACTTTCATACAGATCACGAAACCTAATTCTTCTATTTAAGTCTAATCGAAAAGCTTACAATGTACGCACGTTATATTTTGCGCACATAATATGAGGTTCATCTTTTAACTCACATAACACATAACTCAGTTATTCCTTGATACTTTTATGTGATTCTTGAATCTAAACTGTAGCTTTAAATGTCTACTTTCTAACCCAATAATAAAAACTCAATTTCATTAATCACATGTAGAGAAATTAGATAAATAGCTAGCTATATTCATACAAGAATTTTCAAAATCTGACACAATTCAAACCCATTTTTTTTTTCTAAATCCAACTAATAAAATCTCTCTATAGATTATGTTACACTTCTAAAAGACACAATTTATACATATAACTACATACCCAATTAATCTCCTCTTACAATCACAAATGCATTCCCTATGGGTTTCCCAATAAACTCATAGAGATCTCAAATCATACAATTACAATCTCAAAAACTGAAATTAATCATTCATTCAAGTAACTCATACAATTAATTACATACAAGTGTAGACACTAAATTTCGTCCGGGGCATACAAACAAGGAAATAGACATCTAGCATGAAGAAAAAGAGCTCCTAAAGGACTAGAAACGACATTATATGACATCAGAAGGCTCAAAGCTCAATAATGGTGGTTTAGTAGCTCGAAACGGGACGTTCCCAAACTGGAACGGGCCGTTCTAAACTACTAAAAAGGCCTAGAAACCCTAGTTTGGAATGATTCGTTCCAACACAGGTTGATATGAGTAAAATTCAAATCAAGAATGGGACGTTTTGCTTCTGGAACGGGCCCTTACAGATTTAAATTTAACGCATAATAGACTGATCCAGAATTGGACGTTCTGAAACCAGAATGGGCCATTCTGGTCAGTTCTAATATTTATAAATAGAAGAGTCGAGCACAACTCCTGGGGCCGAAAAAATTTGTCCAGAACACTATATAGCTCGAAATTTCTCTTTCTTTCTCTCTCTCTCTCCTATTGTGTTTCTTGAGATTTTGTGAGGTATATTGTAGTGTGTTAGGTAACCAAAAAGCACCTAAGAGTCTCCCTATTTGAAGATCTAATAAAGCTTGCTATGAGGTATTATTCATCAATCTCTTTCTCCATCTTTTACTTCTTTTATTTTAAATATGATCATAATAAAGGAAACCATGTAGACATCTTAGGGTCAATTGTGTAATTTAGATTTCATGTAAATAACCATTAATAAAGGGGATCAAATATTTAAACTATCAATTCTTATTACATTAGCTTCATCATAGGGTACCGATTAAGAGCGTTGTAGGGGTGCTTAATACCTTTCCTACATGTAACCGACCCCCAAACCCAATTTTGGTTATCAAGGCCATTATTGGATTTTCAAAATCTTTTCTTTTTCCAATGTTTTGAGTA